CCCGGTCCTCCTCCCAACGGACCAGTTGAATATATATACGTATTACAGTTACAAGAAGGCCATTGTGCCTTGCGAAATTCGACAAGTATCTCTCTCACTCGCGGAGGCCTAGTTTCGGATATTTGGGTCACGTTCCTCTTGGCATCGACTTCGACGTGCGAACAAACCCGTCAATGAACGAGAATCGATGTATTTATAGTTAACTGACGTGCCATTAAAATCAACACGTCCTTTTTAAGGAACAAAGAGGGTGAGGGAGATATAAATCGCGAGATTAAACGTTGCGAGAATTCCGATAATAGCGAGGCGGAAATTTATCGAGTTAGAAAAAATCCATCGATGCGGGATCCGGAAGAAGATTAGGAGAAGGTCCGGCGAAAAAAATCTGGTGACTCTGGAGAACGAGGGAAGAGAGATAATGAGTCACGAGAGCACAGAAGGGTGCTTAATCGACTATCATTACGACGCGGTCGCCACGCGATAAGATTAAGCCCGGTATAGTTAATCACGGCCTCATCGTAGCCTTTTCTTAGTCGATTAAGCACCTTCTTAATTCTAGCGATTAGCAGGTAACAAGAGGTGATAAACGAGATATATTTGCAAATTATGTGTTCAATCGCACATTTAGAAAATAAGGTATACTTTTTTGTAAAAAAAAAATAATCACGTAAATTAAGTTGCATGCTTGACAGATTTCTAAAAAAAAAAAGTATAAATTATATGCGTTCAAATTTACTTTTTACTCTCGTAAAATTTTATCGGGAAATATTTGCCAATGATAATTCGTCGTCGAGACTCTTAACCACTCGTGTCACGCACAGTCGCTTAGTCGTTCGCGACCAAAGAAATCGAGAAGAACGAGTCGGCTATCGAGAGCGAGATAAACGAAGTTAATGAGCTAGTCCTTCGGGGGAACAGAAAAGACCTTAACGAACTGCATGTATGTGTATATACGCGAGCAGCAAAACACTTGACCACTCTTCGCAGGACGATACACGCTGCCTTTGTTTTGCTTTTCGCCGACTGGATCGGCCATTGTCTTGCTGGAAGCCATTGAGATTAGTTTCTTCGTTGTTGACAATGACTGATTGTGTTACTCGAATTAAAGGCGACTTCGCCTGCACATCGTTCTTCTCAACCGGCTACTGTTAAAGTTCCAAGAGACGACAATTTTACTCGAATAATTGGGATTCTAGGTTCTAGAGTCGATTTTTCATTCCTTTCCTAAAGTAGCCGCTCATCAATTGCTCGCGTCTCGAAATGCAAAAATTATTTAATCGTATCAATCTCAAGATTAATATTATTACAAAAATATGTATATTGCATTTACACATACGTAAGCGTTAAAATATTTTTATCGGGCAAACAATGACAGAGGCTTGTGCCAAGTCTTTGTGAAAAATCTTAGCGTCGTGTTGACAGAAAGATAGTGGCTACGAGAATGCAAACTCACTTAGAGACGAAACGCTAAATACACGTCGAGGTCGCAACGTCGCGTTGGCGGTTGTAGTTGATCGTGGGAAGCTGTTTGGATGTTAGATAATTGAATAATTTCTCAGAAAATATAGACGCGAAAATATCGGAGCGAAAGAGAAAGAGAGAGAGAGAAGGAAGAAGGAAGGCGGAAAGCATAAGATGAACCTTCTCACACGGGAAAATATACGCGATCTTCGCGTGCAATTAAACGTAACGGTAATGGCATCAGGTTCTCGTTGGTGGTATAATATCACAAGTACTGCTAATTGGTGCGACGGGAGGTAGAGCGTCGAATGCTCGGTTGCTTCTGTCGCGGAAGCCTAAGAAAATTACACGAGTCGCGAAATTAGTTGGCTCTCTCGATTCAATATAGCGCTCGACATTGTGCAAAACAACGTACTTGCCGGCGAATGTGACCAGAATAGTGGAATATGTTCCTCAGAAACGGATTTATACAAAATACTCAATTAAATTACTCAGATATCTGTAATAATATTGTTTGCGATTGAACATTTATCGTCTCGGTGGATTATCAAATTAAATTCACAATAAATTGAATATTAATATCTCTAAAAATATAATAACGTAAGACTGTTATTTATAAGTGTTATAAACAAAATTTCGATAAACTTTTTTGCGAAAAAGTGTTTTTCGATAATTTTATTCTCTCTTAAAAGTGAAGATAATCACCGAGATGAGATTTAAAAAATGACAGCTGAGCAAAGCGTATCGTTATATTCTTGCTTCGACTGGCTCATACACTCACAAACTTTTCGTTCAAATCCATGAGTTGGTATTAGCGAGTTTTGGACGATAATGTTTCGTATGACAACGCAATCTGGTGTTCAACGAACTGATAGACGAACATCGCCAACAGTATCAAATCCGACGAGCCGTAAGAAAAAATAGAGAGACAGAGAGAGACAGAGAGAGACAGATTATCGGATATACTCGAGCAGTGATGGTCAGTGCAACGACCGTGCGTAAACGCGCGCGCATAGCCGCAAATGACATCAAGATAATTTTCCAGCTCGAAAATCACGGAGCACACCGTGCAGCCACCGTGAACGCGCAACGTGCCGTTGACACTTCAACAAGTGGATACAACACGCCGGCGCACGTGTCGCCGACAGTTTTGGCGTGTGCGGGAGAAAGAGAAAGAGAAAGAGAGAGAGAGAGAGAGAGAGAGAGAGAGAGAGAGAGAGAGAGAGAGAAACGAAAAAAAACGTAGATAAAAGTGCGAGTGCAAGTTCATCGAACCACGCTGGTCGTGAAAAGTCAGGGCGGTTGATGCAAATGCTTTACCGTGGCTTACCGCACGCATTTAAATATTTTTAGTCTCCCGTACTGGTTCGCAAAAAGTTACGGGTTCCGTTGATTACGCGGTTTATTAGTGTTATTAGGTATCATTGGTGCACGTGTATTCGTGTTGCAATAACGCGAATCGAAATCAGTAACGAGAAAGTGAGACACGTTACGAGAAAACACGGGCTAACAAACTTTTATAGAAATGTAATTTTATTACGTATACAATTTTTTAATTAAGTATGTTAATTAATAAATTGTATGTGTAATAAAATTAATTGTTATTAATTATGTTAAGTATATTAGATTAATGTGTGCACTTTTTTAATCGCTTTTTTCGTCGAAAAATTTTAAACTGCAACGATCTGTAATGTAATAGACGGAAAACAATTCAGAACTATCGAAAATACGCAGATACAGTATTTCTGATTTCGAATTGAAATTGTTATATCAATTTATATTTCGAATCAGACGTCATGAACCGATTCAGTTGCGAACGTGCATAATTATGCACGGTGAGATGCAGACGGCAGATCCTCGATCAAACGGGAAAAATAATGCGCAAAGAAACCCGACGATTGGTTGAGAGAAAGAAAGTAGAAAAGAGAGTGTACGCCATGGAACCGCGTGTACCAAGAGCCAAGAGCAAGACGAAGAAGAGACCCGTTATAGTGACCGCGTTGCATCGCATTAACCAGCCGACCGAGTGATCCTGATCCAATCTCTTATCCTGATTCTCCTTCAACGAGCAAAGCTTCTACCGTGCGACGATAATCTGCTAAAATGATCCCTAATGATCATAATTCTTCCCTGACTTTAACTGCAAACCGTATATATTTAAGGGTATTTTTTATTAAACTTATTCAATTTAAAATTTCAATTTAAAGATTAACTTCATGTAAAATATTAATAAGTACTAGAGTTTTATAAAAATAAAGATATAAGAGGTTTTTTTACTATATATAACAAGATTTCTTGATGCATCAAAATATAAAGAATCGATTTTCTACAATAAATGCATCTCTTGATTATCGATTTTTAAATTAAGATATAACTACTAGAAGTAAAGATTTCCAATTTATTAAACAAAATAAGGGAATTATTAATCGTAGCTCGAACAGGCAATTCGTAAAATGTTTTATATATAATTTGATGTTTTTCTTTGGAAATATAATTATCGCGGAAATATGCATATTGCAAAAATTGATCAAAAAATCTCGCTATATAAATTTTGAAAATAATTTGTTGTAATTTGCATGGTACTTTAATCGAGCGATTGCGTAAATGAGACCTAATCGTGAGAATACATTTATGATTTATACTCTCTCGCGCAGAGAGAGAGAGAGAGAGAGAGAGGGAGTTCTAGTACTTTTTATAATTATACATGGTTGAATAGACTTTAATTAGTTACAAAATGCCGCAGGCAAGACACGAATAAAGCCTACTTGAAATTTAGTTCAATTATTATGATCATTTGCTCGCGTATGGACGATTTATCCGCATTGTATAATTATTTCGGGCCACATAATGAGGCGACGCGTTAATTAGGTTTATCTCGCCATTATCTCGCGCCATCGATATTCGTCGGGATAATTAGGTATTTTATTATTCTAGGAATAAAAGCGGCGTGCTCTAAAGCTAAACCGGTCTGAATCGATAAAACCGCGTGCTGTCCGCTGTTTGCCAGACAAATGTTTCTCTCTCTCTTTCGAAGCTTCCGATTGCGGCTCGGTATTTCGATATTATGGAAATTTCTTCGAATCTATATTCGAAAAGAGGAAACTATTCATATTACATAACGTTACATTTTATTACTACTTACTTTGCATCGGTATTTTATTGTAGGGCTGATACAAAGTGTCCGATACTATTTCTCCTTTTTTTTTCTCGAGAAATATTTTTTCTTTCTTTAACATTTTTATAGATAATGCCGCGAGGTACAATGACATTCCGCAAATTCCAGAAACCTTCCGAAGACGATAACGTAATGTTACGAGCATTTAAAATATCGGAGGATGAGACGAATTCTCAGATATTCGAAATATAAAATATTATGGAGACTTTTCCGATAGTCCGTCTAACAATTTTTCAAAAAATTATATTGTATAAAGATTATAACCACATATATCGCATAAACCATATTGCACATATTGATGCAATTCCATTCGCATTTGAATGCATATTTTTTTTTTAAATTAGTAGAAAGTATTAAGACTCACCTAAATGTCCACCAGATGTTGAAGCACATTGTGTTCAGCCAGAAGAAAGCAGCCAGGAAAAAGAAATGCGCCATAATCGCTGAAACATAAAAAAAAACAAGTTCCGTTATAGATGATTTTAAGCAGCTTAAAAGTTCTACTTCTTTTCCATAAAGATATTATATTACGTCAAGAGGAACCTTTTTCTTCATTAGTTAAATGTTAAAATTCTAGTAGAGGAAGAGAGAGAAAGATCGATACAGTAATAGCGTTTTAAATTTTTTGATGCATAAATTGATGCTAAAATTTATTAAATGTAATTGAAATACGAAATTTCTAATTGCTATTGTTACTTGTTTATTAAATAAATACAATAAATAAGTAAATAAAGCTATGAGTAAATAAATAAATTTATATATTCATAGCTTCAAATGCGTTTGTTTTCATTTTTTATACTTTTAATCATTCCCAATTATTAAATCAATAAATGCAAATATTGAATAAAAAAGATACAAAAATCAAAGTTAATGATATTTATCAATTCTTTAAAATTAATTACAATTTTTTGCATTTAAACATATTTTATCTATATATTGTATATATCCAATAATAATAAAATTTAGCACTGTTTCAACATCTGTGTCTTTATAACAATCTTTAATCATCTGTGCAAACTCTTAACAGATTCGAGACATCTTGCAACGGGTAAACGAGCTCGCTGAACAAAAACCGCGCCGTCGGTTTTCTATACCTCGATACCTCCTTAAAAGATTCATAAACCATAGTGAATGGGAAAGGGTAAGTTTCGAGGGTGCGACACGCAGGCAAAGAGCCGAACGAAATTTCGGAGGGAGACAGCTTTTGTAAGGATCTGTTTGAACGGTCGCCAAGAGGGTGCGACTGATGATGTCTATAAATTTTTGAGAATCTCGCCCGTATTCATTCTTAGAATTCGTGCGTCTGTTTCTAATAAGGACGAAAATTACGTGGGGTGATAATCTTTGTCGCGTATATTGAAACAGCATTTCATTTCATTGCAAGAGCGTCGTTCGATTTATATTTATGAAACACAAATAGCAGAGCAGTAACTGACACAAAAATGCAATGTATAAATTTTCTAATCAAAATTATATTTAAACGTACGACTTAGATTGAAACAGATAAAAATTAAATACACAATTATTCTATATTATAATAAAAATCATCATTTTGATCTTCACATCATTAAAGAAAATGCAAAAATTGATAAAAAAATTTTTCTTTATAATAGATCATTTTCTTTATAATAGATCATTTCTTTATAATAGATCATCAAAATTTTTTTATTCCCTCTGTTTTTCCAAATTTTATTATATAATATTATACATATCTTTTAACTTTTATCTTTTTATCTTTCAATTTATATATGATCACACATATGGGCTATGTTATGTACGTTAAGCTCCATAAAAGTGCAGTCACGTGCTAAATTACGGAATCATGGTAACGATGTAAAGATCCAACGGCGAGAGAGATGAAATATCGTTTCCATATTTGCGTGGCTTGCGTATTGATAAATTTTTTAACAGCATCGCATTTGCTCACATGTGCGTGTGTATGTATGCATGTTTGCTCTTAGAATGCGAAACAATGAGCACGGAATGCAAACTGCCAGCAAGAATGACGGTATTAATTTTTAAACACGTAATCAACAAACATATGTAATAATGGCGATAACAAATATACGTGCTCAGCGCTCAAAACCTATCAAACTTTTCTTCGCGAATAAATATTTTACTTTTAATAAACGTGGATATGAATATGCAACAGTATCATCGATACATAAAGTGGATTTTATGTAATTATAACAAACGGTAACGATATCAACAATTATACTTTAAAAATTAAACATTTTGATTGGTACACGGTAATGTAATGATCAATCATTACAATATTAATGTCGACATTGATATGTACGCGATAGATATCAAGATATTGTAACATTGTAATCGGTGAGCGTAACGTAGCAATCAAAACGTTTTATCTTTCAAATTTAATTACAACAAGCAGCACATTTCACGAAATATAAAATATTCACGATACGAAATTGGTTAAAACCAGATACATATGTAAGTACACATGCATACGCGAGCACATATTTTTATTCCATTCCAACGCTGCCCAAAATAAAATTTTAATATTATCTGCAAAAACGTAAGTGTGTACTTATCATTAATCACGTAATTCGATTTTTCGCCAATATATTAATTTAAATATTAATTTAAATATTAAATTTCAATCAATTTCACAATTATTTGATGTGAATACTATAAGAGAAAATAGAAAGAATAACGCTTTGTAATAATATCAATTAAGAGTAGTGATTTTTTAAATATTTTCCATTTCATAATGCGCGCACATAAGACGTAATAAGTGCGTATTCAAGGATAGATGAAGGCATGACGCAATGAGAAACTATCGTAACCAATAAAGTTCCTTGCATTCACTCCGTTATCCATCATGAATTATGCTCGCACCTTGGAATAAAAGTGCAATTAGGGCTCTTTTCGCAAATAAAAATATGAATAATTGCTATGAATAATCCACCGCATATATCTGTCAGTTTAATCAAGCCTCTATTCAGTTGCAATTATCCTAACGGAAATGGCAAAAACGCTGCTGATAGAGAGAGATAAATCATACTGTAAACATGCCGGACTCTCTGTGTTGCGTGTTCAATTAATTTTTACTTTTAACTTGGTACATCGACGCCGAAGCACCATGTGCATAACGAAAAATTTCATATCGCTAATGGAGAGCCTTCGAGCGATTGCAGGCTGCAGAATCGCGATTTTAAAGATTGATCAATAGATGGTCCCGGATAGATTTGTCCCGGTAATTTATGATCTAGCAACAGTTAGATTTTAAATATTTACGCGAGCGAAAAACTTACGCGCTGGATATTTAATATAAACAGCTATCAGGATAGAAAAAAGACATATCTACTAAAGTCAATTTTTTCTTACATCATTTTAATTATATTTTTAAATATTTATAAATATTTTAAATATTATATTTATATTTTACAATAAATATTTTAAATATTTATTGTAAAAATATGCAAACGTTATAAATATGTATATATCTAATAATCCATTAGCATATATTCACACAAGATTTAATATTTTTAAAACATATTAGAAAGAAACGACGATTTTATTATATCAATTAAATGAATTAAAAAGACACATATATGCTTTACCCGTGCAAACGATAAACTTGTATTTTGCTAAATCCCAGAGAAATTACTTTCACCGGCAAATGCCAATTAATCGACGTAAGTAAAACGCATTTGGCGAAACGTGGATTAACGATTCGCAATTACAGGACATCCCCCATCCCAAGAAGTCACCCGAGATGAGATTAACGCGTACGTAACGCGGCGGTGAAATCGTCAAATAATTCTTCGCCAGGAGGCTTTTACGATGCGGGATGGTAGCTAGCGGCATTTATCGCGGAAATAATTAAATTTCGAAAACTAATTATGGTTCGTTGCAATTATAACTCGAGCGACATTCATCCGTGAATCGCCACACTATTATCCACCCTTGCAACTTGGATGGAAAAGCTCGCAGTCAGGATGGGGCGAAGCGTTGTCTCACCCCACCGACCACCACCCTTCATCGGCAAAATCCTCGGCAACGTGTTTCGGACGGCCGGGGCGGATCGTGTTTGCGCGGTGTGTTTTCCATTTTCCACGCCGCGTAGGATCAGCCATGTGCGGAAGAGGTCCTTTTGTTGGAATTAGTACCGGGAGTCACAAGAGAGAGAGAAAGAGAGAAAAAGAGAGAGAGACTGGATGGGGAAAGAAAGGAAGAGATAGGAATATCGCGCAGGGGATGTTTTCAAGTACGACGCGCGCGCTGCTTGTTTTCTCATTCATCATGATTTATATGAGTCGAAAACAGCGATGCACGGGGATACGAAGAGATAGTCAGATAAAAAGACGGTTTTGTGTTAGCAGTTGCATCGAGGAATATGTCGAGACCAAATAGAAAGATATTCGCTTCCGAAAGAATATTCTTTGTGTCACATGTCGCGAGTGTATTATTTTCGCAGAGAAATATAACGTCTGCTAAAAGTCTAGAAAAGTTATGCCGAAATCAAGTATAGTGTTACTCTTTCTTGGACAGAAAAATGTATGTGTCAGCAGTAAATATAAAAATATAAAATAACGATCCACGACATTAAATCAGTCAATAATATAGCAATAATATAGCAATAATATAGCAATTATAGGATATATTAATCATGTCAATTAATTATGTTGATTAAATTATTATTAAACTACATTCTTAAAAATAAAAATTATTACTGACTGATATGAGAAAAGAGAGAATGAGCGACAATAAAATTTTATTCAATATTTTAACTTATGATATTATACAGACGATTTATTTCTTGGCTTGTAAGTTTTATAATGAAAGACCTTTCGTTAAGATACTTCTTAAACGTATCAAGACAGAGAGCTCTGATAAAGGGGAGACAAACGCATCAGGGACAGCTGGAGTTAATTTAAGTCACGTTGTAGAGAATCGAAGGAAGTAGTACTGCGGTATTACGTGTACGAACCTATGGCGCCTACTAGGGGTGAGTGTCAAGGGTTGAAACGTCAGCCAGTTAAGGGCGCCCCGATTTGCATAGGGTCGGAATTAGATTGCGCGAGCTGACCCGCCGTTTATCTTTTTCTTTCCCAGAGAGTACATCTAATTGCCCTGAGGGATGACGCCCTTGTTGGGCACGTGCGTGCTAACATTATTGCACTCTTTGTCAACTGTAACATGATACGAAGAGCAAATTTGCAAGTCCGTTTATAATTAAATGTCGATGTACTCAGGCTCTTTGCATCATACTTTTGTCATTCATTATCATTGATGGAGATGTATAGTTTCAGGGATATTTAATCTATTTGAGATTCTCTATCTTTTTTCTCTAATGTAAATAATAGTCAACCTAATTTATTATATCATAAATTACAATTGTAATTTACAATATAGTTTCAAAATTATATATAATTATGATTATATTATTCCAATATTGATTGAAGATGTAATCAAAATT